GGGAAGAATAATTGTCTTTTTAATAAATGGTGCTGAAGCCATCATATATCTATTCACAAAGTATTAAACTTTACACACACTTCACATTATACCCAAATATTCACTTGGGATATGTCATAGACTTAGACATGAATGGTACAACAATAAAGCTTCTAGAAGACAAAGAGGGATGTTCTACCACCTTAGGGGAGGCTAAAAAATTCTTAAAGAAAACACAAATATTGCTACCATAAAGTTTTTTTAAATGATAAGTTGAATTTCACTGAAGTCAAGAATTTCTCTTAATCATAAACACCATTAAGAGAGTAAAAGCCAGACAAAGACCTGGAGAACATATTTCTTTAAGAAAACATGGCAAACAATATCCAGGATATATAAATAACTTCTTCAAAACAGTTTTTTAAGAAGGCCAACTACCAACTAAGTTTTATTTTAATAGGTAAAGAGTCTACATGGGCACATCACCAAAAAAAAAAAAAAAATTTCCAAATGATTAATAAGAATATGCAAATAACATTACCTCTCAGGGAAATGCAAATTAAAAAACCACAGTAAGATACCATTATGTGAACACTAGAATGGTTAATTGGCTTATCACATGTTAGCAAGGTTGTGGACTGTCTTCAGCTCTCCCGCATTCCTGATCGATGTTATAAAAGTCCACCATTTAGATGGAAGTGTAAACTGGTTCATCCACTTTGGAAAATTCTTTGGCAGTATCTGACAAAGATAAACATACACCTAACATGAAACTCTCAGTCTCTTGCCTCCGCAGGCCTGTTCTTGATTAAATAAATACTTATTGATGACTATGAATCACTCTTGGTGTTCCAGGCGCGGAGGAAACAGCAGTGAAAAAAAGAAAAGAAAAAAACAACTCTGTCCACAGTGGGCCTGCATTCTAGAGGGGGTAGTCAAACCATAAGCAAAAATATAACTTAGTTAACAATAAGCGTTTTGAAAAATGTGTAATAGGTAAGAAAGTGTTCTATGAATACGGAGTAAGAAAAAGCAGGATTAATGAAGAGCAATGGAGCCATCACAGTGGGAGGGTAACGTGGTTTTCATTAGCAAGGTCAAGAAAGGCCTCCTTGAGAAAAAAACTAACGCCCAAACTTTCATGGCACCCACCACGAGTAACGATTAGCTGAAGCCCTGCAGACAGCCCGCTGTGCCCCGAGGGCCCGCAAAGGGGGTGGGACATGCCCTATCTCTTCCGATTGGCTCTGGTCACTGTCATCAGCTCTAAGAGGCATGTGCCCGTGGACGCACATCTTCAGCTGCCTCATTGATTGGCTGCAAAGTAATAAAATATGCAGTGGCTGATTGGCTGCAGCGTAATAGCACGTCAAGCTGCTGATTGGGTGCGTGTAGCCGCACCCCACGCAAGGCCTGCAGGGAGGACCGAGAGACTTGAGAGCACTGTTACGCACCTGAGAGAGAAGACAACTGGCTGCACGAGGCCATACCTGGCCTGTTGTCTTTCCTGACAGTCGTTGAGTATGGGACATGCGTTGGGCACTGGCCAAACTGGACTCCTGTGAAAGCAGGACTTGCCTGTCAGTCAGCGTGACCTTGGGCTGTCAGGCTGTCCCGAGGTCAGTTAGGCGCCAGGGCAGTTCTCTGACCTAAGAGGCCCCGTCAGCCTCGTTTTTGGACAAAGGGCAATTCTGCATCTCTCCCTGAGAGCCTGTCTGCCGACCAGTCAGTCATTCAGTTCACCAGGAGCCTGTCCCTCTGTTCGTCAGTCCGCCACCCAGTCGGTCACGTGGTCAAGCGGACGTGCAGCCCCGCAGTCTGTGCGTTAATGATCAGGTTAGTGCCCTTACGAGTCAAGAGCCCCCTCGTAAACCAGATAATCCATTCCCTCTATAGCCTGCCCCGTTCATCAGTTCACTAGACGCCCCTGAAATCAGGCCATTAATAAATTCATCCTCCTGTAAGGCACTCAGTCGTCAGTCACACAGTTACCCGCGAGCAGTCAGTCGGTTAGTCAGTTTCGCCGTTAGACCTTGGCCCCCTGGAAAGTCAGTCTTCCAGGCAGCGGGCCTCGCAGAGCCAGCCTTTCCCTCAGCAAGCCCGGGAAGCCCTTTGTACCGCTTGCGCCCTCCCAAGGAAATAGGCGGAAGTGCGCCGAGGACAAAGGAAAGAACGAGACAGTATCCCGGAGGCCCAGAACGAGAGACGAAGGTCGAATCGAAAGGAGTAGTGATGGGTAACGGGCAATGTTAGACAGAGAGTGTCTGGGGAATCATCCTGAGTATCTCTAAAGCCTGGCCGGCGAGAGCACGAAGAAATCACAATCCAGGAGCTAGGCCGGTCATTACATCTCAAACAAGAAAACCCACTCGTGGCTCAGATGAGGAGGCAAGAGGAAACCACAGAGCGAGAAATACTGGACCAGGGTTATTCAGTGATTTACTTGCAAAGGCGGGGCCAGGACCCGAAGAGGGCCCATTTCTACATCCAACGTGTGGTTTTACATCAGAGAAGGGGAAAGAAAGAAATGGGCAGTAGAGAAAGGCAGCGGATGTGGGGCAACGAAGGCAAGTGCTTGGCTACCTGGCAGTCTGGGCAGCAGCATCTTTATATGAGGAGACAAGAAATCTGTTTTGGCACAAGGAGGTTAAGGTTGGGGCAGAGTCGACTCAGAGGGGTCCTGTGAAGCATGCAGCAATACGGAATAGGACAGCAGAGGGCTGGTTCTAGAACCCAAAAAAACTGGGAAGGGAATCGAGGTGATCAAGAGAGGTCCCAAATCCAATGCTGGCAGGAAATTTAATAAATGCTGTATTTTGCCATGTATAATGTGCCCCCATGTTTTTGGCCCAAACTTTCAGGTAAAAAAAAAAATCATTTTTAATTCAATTATTTATTTATTTATATTTAGGTACTTGTTTTTTGTATTATAAAGGAATTTTAGCATTTATTTTTGAACATATTATGGTACAAGAAATTTTATGTAACAAATAATTTAAAACGCAAGAACAGAGATACAAAGTATTTCAGGTACTACCTATGTATAATGCTCATCCTTATTTTTCCCTCAAAAATTTGGGCAAAAAAAGTGTACATTGTAACTTTGACTGGTGTGGCTCAGTGCACTGAGCGCTGGCCTGTGAACCAAATGGTCACCGGTTCGATTCCCACCTTCAACCACTATTGATTGACTATGCTAAATGAGAACCAATCAGATTTCCCAAGGCCACACAAGTTGTAATTTGAAAAGTATAGGATATCTCCTGGGGGGGTGAGGAACATATTACAAGCCCAGTGTTTGGTTGGCTTATCTGGATTTTGGAAGACTCGTAGACTATATCTGTAAATACTGCTAGCCTCTGTTTATAAAACCAGCAGAAAGAAGTCTTGGGGTCCATATACAGACCATAGCTTGTGACAAAAGCCAGTGAGCACCACTCAATGGTAACCACTGGGATTTTTGGCCAGAAAATTTCCATTAGAGAGTCAACTAAGTGGCTATTGAGCTTTAATTGAAATCACCCCTGTTACTGAAGGACATAAAATAATCCTGAAACTGGAAATAATACCCATGACCTCCTGGGTGATGCTGAATAAATACACTAATAAGGAAGGCCATGACCAGAAGAGATCCATATTAAAATGGAAGTGGTTTATAGAGGAACACACTGCCAAGGGACTGCAAGCAGGTACTCATTGTATTCAGGAGCAGGTGGCCTCTTTTCCCCGAAGGTTGACTCTGCAACCACTTGAGGATCTGCCAGATCTTACTGCCACTTGGGTGGTGCCAATGAAATGCTCTCAACTGACCAAGAGCTACTTGGTTTATGGATGGCAGCTCCAAGGTGAATGGCTTTCTTTGAGTGAGGGATATTAGCAATGGTGCTGGTAAATATTTAACAGCAGAACTCCAAAGGAAGGGGAAGCCTTGAATTGTAGTGTTGCCAATTTCTACTGTGTAAATACTTTCACCATAGTCAATTTTAAGCTATCAACCATGATGTGGAGTTAGGAAGAGATACAGTAGCACACCATTATGTAGTGTTTCCATCATACAAATACAATAAATGCAAACAACCTCAGGAACGCAGATAATAGAAAAGTGTATTAGAAATATTAGATGTAATTGATTTTGAGTAATTATTACCTTTGTTTTTAATATAATTTGCTTAACCATAGGTTCATATAATTTAATTTTTAATGATGCATGTGTTTACAGCCAGCTAGCAACATTCTTAAAATTTTAATAATCAGCAGTGAAATTTAGAAAAGGCAACGTTTTCTCTTTGGCATGGGGAATGTCGGAAGAAGGCACAGGGGAATATAAGGCAAGGCTGCGGCCTAATTGTGGAGAACCTTATTTGCAAAGCAAGAAGTTTGGGAATCAGCAGTGGTAATTTCTGTCCTTTTTTATTCTCCCAAAGGTTTGTTAAATCTGTCCCGCCTCCCCATTCCTCACAGCCCATGTGCCGTGTGGATCGTCACTCAGTCCAGACCTCCACACCAACCTCTTCCAGGACCACCTGGCTTGCAGTCGCTCCCCCTACAGGCCATCTCTCACATGGCCCCAGTGGGCTCTTCAGAGCACTCAGGCTTGATCCTGTCCCTTCGGGGCTCGCAACCCTCCCTTGGATCCCCATGAGCTTTGAGAGGGAACCCAAAGGACTTGATAAAAGAGCCCCTCCAAAGGGGCTGAGACTAGAAGTGAAAGACTAGGGGGCAGAGAAGAAAGGAGACCTGGCATTGGGGAGACAGAGGATCAGTGGGTGCCGCCCTGTCCCTAGTCGCTCTTGAGGAATCCCATGTAATTCCTGCTCCTCGAGATGGACTGGCCTTCAGGATGAACAAAGAGATAGAAGCCCCTGGCTTGCTAAGAATACTTTCTGCTCCCCGACCCGCATGTCATCTTTCAGTTGCCCATCCTCTCATCCCTTCTGGACCACACGGTTCCGAGGTCGGAGCTGGCTGCAGTAAAGGTGCCAGAGCTCTCCAGTCCCTGAGAGCCACCACTGCCACTGCTGATGGTGCTGCCAGCGCAAGGTCTGGGTAGGTAGCGGGGAAGTAGCTCTGCGGTGTGTGAGGAAGCCGAGGGCTCTGGGGGCACAAGGAGGGAGAACACAAGCACGGTAGGTACCGAATAACTGATATGGATTAGACATCTGTGGGCCAGATGCCGGCCAGGCTGGGAGTGTCCCGGGCAAACAGTGGATTGGGCCGGGGAGTGGGGTTGCAGGTGAGGGTGGTTTGAGCATTCGAGAGTACAGGGAGCTGTTTGAGATATCACTGGCCTGCGCTTGGAGCTCCCAGGTAGGCACTTTTTCAGCATCTTGTTGGTGGCCTTCCAGGAGCATGCCTTCCCAGGTGGAGAAAATAAATAGTCTAGAGACCAGCAGTGGAGGAGAAGCTATACATCACCCATCACCATCCCTTGCAAACTCCTTATCCCCTCAAGTGACCCAGGTGAAAAGGCCAAGACCCAGGTTACTGTTTAGGGGGAAATTACCCCTTTCTTCCAGCAACCCAAACCAACTCCTGTGAAAACATATATGAAAGCACTAAGGACCAGCTCCTCGCTAATCCATGCTATTCACCAGATTGACAATATTCCCTGACTATTCTATGTAGAATGAGGCAGGTCCAAATGTTGTTACCTAGACAATGTCATAGCAACCTGTGCTTCAGATGAATGCACAAGCAAAGGCCACTTGGGACTGGGAAGAAGAAATCTAGAAAGGCATCCTATTTATTGAATGGGTAATGCTTTGCCGCACACTGAGCCAGGAACACTGCAAACCTTAGGGCATTCCTCCTTATAGCCGTCATAGTGTGATACACGTTCAGTGACTATCGCTATTTTCCAGAGTAGGAAAGAACAAAGAGAGGGAGTGATTGGCCCGAAGCATCCAGACAGTAGGTGATGATGGGAGAAATTGATCACAGATGGAGCTGGGAAGGGGCAGAGCCCAAGGACAGAGTGGAGGGGGGAGGAAGAGAAGGGATATAGGAGCTGGGACTGGGAAGTCTAGCCTGGGGGGCGGTATATTAGGGATTATTTGCAATGTACATCCCCAGAAAACTCCAGTCTACAAGGTCAGATATTCAGGTTCAGGCCAGATGAGGAGAGAGGTCTGTGAGGCTTGACCTCTCTGGGGTTCCAGAAAGTCTTTCCAAAGCTCGCTGTTGATCACGAGTAAGGAGAAGGCTGGGTCCTTGAGAAAGTGGAGGTGGAGAAGGGGCGTCAGGATGCCCTGCCAACTCCTGGCTCTTCCTCCTCACAGAACCTGCCAAGCTCCTCTCTTCATCTTGCTCTTTGGAGAAGGTTCTGCAGTGCAGCTGCTCCTTTTATGGGGTCCCTGCACCCTACGTGCGGTGGTGGATGAAAGATGACATCGTGGGTGTGGACAGCACACCCGACAGCCCCCAGGTGGAGTCCACGTTCCTGGGCCCCTGGGCCAACACCACCATCAGCCTGGCTGAGATGCCAGAAATGGGTACACGGCTTCTCTGTGAGGGGATGAACGAACGCGGAAGCCATGTTATGAGCATCGTACTGATGTCAAGTGAGGATGAGGAAGAGCGGGATGGGGACGGGCACTGGGGCCAGGGGGGAGAGCAGAGCTTTGGTTCCAATCTCCAGGTCGCAGGGGGCCAGCCTTTCTCATATGTTCTCTACTTCCAGTAAAGAGTCCCTTGGTCACGCAAACATTCATCAGCGGGTTCTTCCAGGGTCTTGCCTATGGAGCCATTTTGACTACACTGCTCTTCCTCTGCCTCATCCCATTCATGTGAGTACTGGAGTTAAAATTCACCTGTAGGCGTCTCCTGGGGCCTGCTACTTGGCAAGCCCTGGCTGTGGTGTGGCACAGAGCAGGGAAAGACCAGGCCCCTGCCCTCAAGGAGCCCAGGGTCCAGGAAGGGAAAGAGGCACCAAACATGGTCCCCACAGTCTGGGGCCATCAGGACTATTCTGAACCACAAACAGGCCCAAGGGATGAGGTTTTCAGTGAATTTCATGAAGGAGAATGCAAAGGAGGAAGTGCCACCCTCAGGAAGACAGCAGAGTCCCCAGAGTACCATCTGCCGTGGACTTGGGGGGCCGAGCACTCATTTGGTACAAAGTACTATCTGAAGACCCCAGGGACACATTTGAGGAATTTTCAGGGTCATTGTGCAATGTCACTTGCATTGAGAGCAACAGATAATGGCTAAAAGTGAAGGTGAAAAAGGCCCTCTATGTTGATTCATAAAGACCCTCGAAACTTGGCAGAACCCATTGGCTAGAAGCCTAGAGTGAGAAGGGCAGAGTTCCCAGAGGTCAGGCCAGAGAGTTTGGTGGGGGCTGGCAGCGGGGGAGTCTGGCCAGTCCAGATGTCTTGGGCTGGATTCTGAGTTGGGAGCCCTGGAAGCATGCTAAGCTAGGAAGGAAAGCGTGAACTTGGGGTGGAACACAGACCAGAGAGGGAGAGCGAGGCAGCCTGGGGCTTGAGCCAGGCCTGAGCCTGGGCAAGTGATGTGGGGCAGTGGGAGACATGGGACTTGGGAGTGACTGGATACCTCAGGTGAGGAAGAAGAGGAGCAGGGTAGCGGGGCCAACCGGGGAACCATTTTCAAGTCTAGTCATCTGGACTTAAAACCAAAACAGTCCTTTACAGTTTGGAAAGCCCTTTCATAGCTGATCTCCTCTGAGTCCCAGGGCCTAATGAGCAAGGTGATCCCATTGTATAGAGTATGAAACCAACTCCCAGACAGTGGTGCGACTCACCCTAGATGACATGACAAGATGGTACGGTCACTGAGGCTCTAAACTGGAACTTATGACTAAGACCATGGCCCTCTTGGGGATCCTGGGGGACGTGCAGGGCCAGAACTAATCCGGAGGGTCGTTTCCTTAGAGTGAAACGTATCAGAAAGAAGCTGGCAAGAAAAATTGCAGTGAACAAGGAAGAAAAGGACATTGGAGACAGAGCATACCAAGGACCCAACATGGCTCTGAAGCCTGAGGAACCAGAAAAACCCATAATCACCCCATCTTCTGAGAGCCAGAGATTGGTGGGTACCCACTGTGTCTGCAATCTAGTCAAGCAGAATGATGGCAACGATGCAGCAGGAGCGCCACATAGTTATCCTCAGTTCTATAGAGGCCAGAATAAGCTTGGACATCATCTTATACATGAGGAACCTAAGGCCCAGGGAGGGGAAGAAGGACGAAAATTAAGAGAAACAACTTAAACGACAATTGGAACCAGCAATATATACACACATACATACACACTGAGTCCCCATCGAGAACAGGGTTGGGAGAAATTCCAGCAGCAGTTGTAGCATTAGAGTGGAAATCAAAGGGCTTTGTCTCTGACAGTCTGGCAGTCTGCAGTCAGCACAGCCTGCAGACACCACAGGCTCAAGTCAGCCTGAAGTTCCAGGGGACCAGACTAAGCCCAGTTTACTTCATTTACACCACATCCTGTATCCTCAGCAGGGTTTGGAGGAAGCAGTACCTGAGGTTTCTGGGCCTCGCTGTTATTTACCATTGACAACTCTCTAGGCCAGAAGTGCCCTGCTGCTGTCTGTATACCGTACACTGGGAGCCAGTGTCCCTTTCTATATAGACCATACATCTATTACGTTCCACCCGCATTTCCCACAGTATTTCCTAATGTCCATGTGGGCCATGCTGGGATCTCAGAAACGGGTCAGACCCAGGCCCTGCCCTCAGAGAGCAACCAGGCCAGCGGGGAAACACCCTTATAGTAACGAGGCTGAGCTGAGGATCTGGTTACCCAGAGGAAGGAGGGACCAAACCCACCTGCAGAACCAGGCAGAACCTCCCAAGGGAGTCTTGGTCGGGGGGGCAGTTAGGTGGGTCTGGTGCAGGGAATGCACAGGAAGGACCAGCAGAAGAAGATATCTCTCAGGCTCCAACCAGGGTATCGCATGGAAAGGGGAAGCCAATACCTGCTCCATGTTGCCCCAGGTGCTCGAAGGGAGGGACAGAATTCTGTCCCTATTTGGATACCTCACCTCTGAACCTGTTCTAACATTCTTCTCTCTTTGCTCTGCAGGACCCATGACCCTAACTTCCAGGAAAAAAAGAGCTGAGTTGGAGCCGACAAAGCCTGTGAAAACTCCACTCCCATCTGGAGAGCCCGTGATCCCACAGAACTGTTAAGGCCGCAGAAACCCAGGGCCTCTAACAAACCTGGAGCCCCTGAGCCTCCTTGGCTCACAGAGGCCTCTCCTGCCACCCTCCCATCCTGTCCTTTGGACTGGTTCTCCACGGAACAAGGTTACCCTTCGACCTGCTATTAGAACCTTTGAAAGCAAGCTATGAACTGTTTGGGTTAGCCAGAGGAAATGTGCCCCATCCTGGAATGGTGTCAAAGAAAGAGAAAATGCATGTGAGACTGAAATAGGCCCACCAAGAAGGGGCTTTTGAGCCCCTGCTGTGTGCCCAGGGCCTGGAAATATACATACAAGAGCACCAGACTTTGGAGCCATCCTGTACGGATTGAATCCCAACTTGGTTATATGTCTTCGAGAAGGCCATTTGCCCCCACCCTTGAACTTTAAACTTTGACCTTCAGTATTGTCACCTGAGGTGTACCTGCATGGAGAGTGAATGAAGTATGGTTTCCAGAGATACAGGTGGAGAAAAGGCACAGAGATGGGCCCTGAAGGTCAAGCTATGGCGTTGGAGCTCTGTCTGGTAGGACCTTATTCTGACTCCCTTAGAATGTGAGTTCCACGAGAACAGGGATCTTGTCTTTTTTTTTTTTTTCCTATCTGTATCACCAGCACCTAGAACAGTGCCTAAAAATAATAAACTCAAAAATGTTTGTCGAATAATTTTTTTTCACTTGTGAGAATTTAATGGATTCCCCTCCATGTGGCTTCAAGCTCCCAGCACACAAGCTCCACCCACGGTCTTAATCATCTCCTCGGCTCTTCTGCTGAAGACCTTGGCGTTCACAATGACAGGCTTCTCTGGGCGCTTCCCCTTCCCCAGAACTTTGTAGTAGCCCGATCGCACCCCATCAATGATGGGAGCAGCTCTGGTCTTGTTCTTGGCAGCATTTACCCATGTCTGCTCACTGACCAGAGTCCACAGTTTGTCAAGGTTGACAGTGGAGCAGAAGCTCTGGTTCCTCTTTAAGTGGAACCTCACACCACCTTTCCCAAAGTGACCTGGGTCATATTTGTTGAAGTTGATCCTGTGATGATGCAAACCACCGGCATTACCTCGGCCTCCCGGGTGCTTCCTGTGCTTGCTGATGCGGCCGTGGCCATGGCTTACGTGGCCCTGAAGTTTCCAGGTCTTCCTCAGTCTGGATGGGATGTTGGCAACTGAGATGCAAGAGCTGTTTGTCGAATAATTGAATGAATGAATGAATTAATTGTAAGCTGTTGGAAGGTCTGAAGCAAAGAAGTGGAGTGCCAAGATATATAATGAAAGATCATTTTATAAGTAGTTATTAAAAATGTATTTGGAAGAGGTAAGGCTGGAGGCAAAGAACCTAGTTAGGAAGTTATTCCAATATTTCTTGGCCAGGCTGAAAGGTAGGCATACAAAGAATGAGAAAGGGATTCTGACATTAGAATGGACCATGGCTGCATATTCCCCTCAAAATAAATGGTAACTGTTCCTCTGGTGCCAAAGGCTGGTTATTTTCAGCTGTCGAAGAAAGGGGCATCTCTTCCTTGGAGTGTTATTTGTGAGCAAATCCAGTGGTTTTCCATTCAGCACCAGTGAGATGATCATCTTGTACTTAAGGCAGAGATTTATGTAAACCCTCACCTGTATGGGCACCTCTATCAACTTCATGCATGCAATTCATACATTCCACCTGGGCACTCATCTTGTATCAGAGGAGGCAAATAAGCCAGACACTGACTTTGCTTCTGTGGAGTTTGTGGTCTATAGAGGTACACAGACAGTGAAGGAAGAAAGAAACAAAATATGACTTAACTTAAAGTAAGATAACTTAAAATAGAAAGTGCCAGGAAGAAAAAGGACAGAATACTCAGCGTATATAAAAGACCAGAGAAAGAATCTAGTTTGGATTAGAAAATCACAGAAAGACTCTTTGAGAAAGTGACATTTCTGCTGAGACCTAAAGAACTCTTAAGGGCTGGTCAGAAGGAGCAGCAGATTCTAGGCTCTTACATGGGAGAGGTTTGATGCGTTTAAGACACCGGGGGTAGGGGAGCGGTCTATGCCCTCGGAGCTCAGACTGAAGGATGCGCTGCACAGGAGACAGACCTTTCAGGGCCTCACGGTGAGAAGTTGCAGTTTTATCCTCACTCGTGGAGGGTTATTTTCTCATGTGCTTTGTAATCTTGAAAAGTGGGCCCCTATTCATCAGGACTTTACCTGTAAGAATACTGTGTTTAGCGTAGGTTTTAAGTTGAAGGAGGATCCTTCATAATAGGTCTGATGTTTGCTTCTATCAAACAAATCCTCCGTCAGGAAGAAGTGAACAAGGATGGGGACAGGGAGGGTGGACGATTTGAGAAAGGGATGGAGAACGAGAAAAATGATGGGAACTGGTTTGGGAACAGATCAGGGCTGGGCTGTCACGAAAATGGAGAGTTGGGCCTTGCGTCTTTCGGTCGGGATGGAGTCTTGGTTGCAGGAGAGGAAATGAGGGTACCAAGGTACCTTCTGATTGGCCCTGAGGGTCGTGCACTTGGCATTTTGTTTCTTGATCAACAGCCTCCAATCCGCCCACCACGTTTCCTCACAAGTACTGGGTTGAGGAAGAGCGCCCCTTAACAACTTGGAGTCTTAAGCTCTAGGAGGAACCTAGAACCACCACCTCAAGAAAGACGATTCTCCGGAGAGCTGAGGCGAGGGATGCCCGGCTAGGGTCCAGGGTTTCCACAGCGACCATCGTTCCAGACTGGCTCGGGCTCTGGAGACCCACGAGGCCCCTCCCCATACCAGCAGCCCCTGCGCACAGCCTCAGGCGCTGATTGGCTCCTGACAGACTTGCGCATGCTCATTGGTGGGCATGCGGTGGGGGGGGCGGGGTTGATGCTTCTCTGGAAAACAGGTATCCGCACGTGACCTCTGGCTGGTGAGTCGTTGGAGAAGGTCAGGGACTCCCAGGCCACCTAGTGAGCTGGCTATAAGGCAACTAACCGGGGAGCCTTCCTCTGCCTGAGGCACTTCCCGGTGAGTCACTTAGTGGTTGTGCACAGGGATAGTCCACGGATGAGTCAGTACCTCGGGCTCATGGTGAGCCGTTACATCGGTCCAACAGTTTATTCCTCTGGAAAGTTCGCTGTCCAGTCAGTGTTCTATAATACGTAGTAAGTTAGCTCGCCGGTCCCTTGTCATTCAGCAAAAATCCAAGCAGACGTTCAGGTTTCGAGGAACCAGCCAGGTGGAGCTCTTGGAACCCGAATCTGAGACGAGGAGATGAACTTGGAAAAGCACATTTGGAAAAAGAAAGGTTGCCTATGGAGACAACCCATGGATGTGTCAAGGCCCAGAGAAGGGCATGAGTAGGGGAAGAGATTTTAAAGTATGAAGGACCGGTAAAACCGTCTCATGTGATAGATGAGGGAAATGAAGAGAAACCAGAGAGCAGACAGCGCTCAGGTTACCTCATGGTTGCCAAATGGCTTCTCCACCTCCAGCGTCGCATCCATAGTCCAGGGAAGAGGAAGCAAGAGACAAGGAGAACGTAGTAGTGCCAGTATCGGAAAAACAGAATTTCCCAACGTCCCCAGCAGATAGCCTCATACGTTTGGCGTTCTATATTGAGAAATCTCAACATTTGTGCTTAATAATAAGTTTAGCAAAGTGCAAGGTTTTTATTTTTGCACTGTGCACATGGGAAAAGAGAAGAGGGCAATCCCACAGATAGGTATACATTTAGGAAAAAACAACGCCGTCAATTACAGTGTTTTGTTACCAGAGCAAGAAATTATCAAGTAAGACAACTGGTCAGGATATCATTTTTTATTTGAATATCATTTTCATAAGACATGGAATAATTTGTAATGTCTTTGGAGTCTCATAAGACCACTTTGTTTAAATTGTTCTTTCAAGGGAGGATTTGTATTAACAGAGAATGGAACAAGTCAGTGACAGTCATGAATATTCATTAAAACACTGTATATTGCAGAGGAGAACATAAATTATATTCGTATAAACATTCTCAGTTTTGCACAATATCAAATCAGATTCTTTGAGCCCTTTTAAAACATGGAACAATGTATTTTGATTTATAGCTGCAGGGGAAGGGAACATTTCCTTCAATTCTTTCTGCGTTGTTTCCTTTATTATAAAAACTTGTTTTTTTTTAAAACCAGACTCCGGAATTTTAATAGTTCATAAAAAAAAAAGAAGAAAAAGAACTAAAAGAGATACCCAGATCTCAACTGTGATGGCAGAGAAGGAAAAAAAAAGGCATAAAGGTTAAGTCGGCTTTTATTTGCCGGTAGTAAGTTAATAACATTTTTATTATACTTGACTCAGTGGCCAGAACTATGTCCCATGGCCACCCCTTAATTTAAAAAGGCAGGGGAGCCCTAACTTGGTGTGGCTCAGTGGGTTGGGTGTCCTCCCACAGATCAAAAGATTGCCAGTTCGATCTCTGATCAGGGCGCATGCGTGGGTTGAGGACCCCGACTGGGGGCATGTGAGAGGCAACTAGTCAATGTTTCTCTTGCATATCAATGTTTCTTTACCTCCATTTCCCTCTCTCTAAAAAATAAGTAAATATAAAAAACAGGGAAATACAGGTTGCTTGGTTGGTTTTCAAAAAGAACCAGGGACTTGATCGCCTGAACAAATTTGAAATGATGAGACACACAGGAGCGTTGGCATCATGCAGGCAACTCCGGTCTGCCTGACACATTGCAGTGAAAGAGATGGACAGAGGCGGGCGCTGAAGAGAGTCTGAGAAAGGCGGCGTTCTGGTTGTGGGTATCCTCGGAAGCTGCTAGGACGAAGTTACGTTTGACCTGGACTTGGGTAGAGTGGTGGGATTTCAGTGTGGGCAGAGGAGTTCCAGGAGGATGCTGCAAAAAGGCAGCTGTTCTGAATAAACATACGGAAGGAGGAATGCATGGAGTATATGTGGAAAGGGTACCTCCTTTTCCTTCATCTGCAAAGAATGGCAGCGGGATAGGGAAGCAGGCAGTGGAGATAGGGCAGGC